AGGTTGGTTTACTTTTATTTCACTGTTGGCAGTCGTAACTATTTTTACGATATAATCTGCGCACAATCCGCTTTGATATTCAAACCTATTTTGGTGGTCTTCTTGGTCTGGTATATAAACAATTTTATTGTTCGAGCCGGATATTATTTGTGCTCAAGTGGGTTTAAGTTTGCAAGGCAGCCAATCCAATCTAACTTAACTAGTAAATCCAGATTAAAACGAATTGTGCTTCAAAATGCAAATGAAACCAAAAGTATTACCGCATCTTTTTGGATATTTTTAATTTAAGTATATATATATGGTAATTTAAAAAGATTTATTTTTAACTTGCTTATCTTAATTTATAATTGTTCACTTCATTTTAAATTCCTTAAGGTAATTATAAAATATACATTAGTTTCTTTACATAAGTTTTCGCATTATCTATGTTACCTATTTTAATCCACTTTACACTAATTATGCGTACGAGCGCAGAAATGTTATTCAAAAACATTAGCAATAAAAGTTTTACCAAATTTAGGTCTCTGACAATATTTTTCAAATAAAAGTCAAGTAATGTTAAAAATGAGAATAAAATCGTAATTCACCCTTCGAAAAGCAATTTCCGCAAAAAATACAGGACGGATTTCAAGTAAATATTTAGTAAATCACATAGTTTTATTCCTACTGACTGTTTTGTTTGCATAAAAAAATAATAATAATGTAATAATAGGTCTGTTCCACGAGCTACTCGTAGCAACTGTGAGTAACAATTTATATACACAAGTGCGTTTCACCAGAAAAATTTCCAGTAAATGAGATCATCTGCGAGAGCGTAACATCCCTGTCGAAATTTGAAAATGCTACACAAACTGCACTTGTAAATTTTATTTCAAGCAAAATTTGTGTGATGTGTAAATCAGCTGTTCTGGTTTGAATTTTAAATATTTGTATTGTTTATATTGCGGGACACTAAATCTGTGTAAAGAACGTAATTTGGCACCTTATTTGTGTTACGCTCAAAGTTTGGACTTTACTTGTGTTTTACTTGAGTTTTACTACAAGTAACTCATGGAACAGACCTAATACATGTTTTATTAATTTAAATTCTAAACACGATAATGGATTTATTTTTTACATAGTATTATATGTGATATCTTAACTATTTTATATTTTCATGTAAATGTCTTTCTTTTATGCTGGAATAGGTGTGGCATATTCTATATAAATTTCATAAGTTAGAAAATAAGGACACTCACTAATTATTAAAAAAATTGTAGTGATGTGGAGAAAAAAAAGCATAACTTGGATAGCGCTAGCGTTACACTGAATTCACACGAGAGTTCTATTTGTAACTTTAGCTGTGAAAAATTTTAATTTTACATTGTAAGCAACAATAATTGACAGCTAAAATTACAAACATGACAGCTAAAATTACAAACATGACAAACAATATTTTCGTGTGAATTCAGTATTAGACCAGATACACTGTGTACTTTTACTTTTACAAAGTTGTTATTGCCGCGTATATAAATATATTTTAATATTATTATATATAATAGTCGATTTATGTGTTAACACAAATTTTACACTCATTTCTATAATTTACATCTATAAATATTATATTAAAATATGTTATCAATATATATATTGTACATGATCTTTTGCAACAAATTTTTGCTTTAAAAATACTTGAATACAAAAATTTTGATTTGTTAACAATTTCTTATTGGCAATTGTCAGATTTCAACATAAAATATTTTTACTTATATTAATTTCTAATAATTTTATTATATGGCGTTTTCAATGGTAAATCTGGAGTAAATATTTCAATCGAGATGCTCTTATAATACACTTTTAATGCAATTTTTCTCGATTGAAAAATTTTACAGATCGGAATAAATCTAGATTAAATCCAGTTTTACTAATCGAAAACGCTAAAAGTTATATTTAAATCTGCATGACTTTTATATAAGAATATTAAAATTTATTTGTCAAATTTATTTACATTAGGTCTGTTCCACGAGCTACTCATAGTAAAACTCAAGTAAAAAACAAATAAAATGTACACGAAAATGCACGAAAATTTGCTGGTGGAACTCATTTCTCTATACACAGTGTTACTCATTATTACTACGAGTAGCTTGTGGAACAGACCTATTATGTCTTCTTAAAAGTGAAGATAGATTTTAGAGTTGCCACTCCACTTTATTGTCTACACTGTGATACTAATTTCTTAGTAACATTTCGCTTAAATTTATACTCTTGTGTAATCAATTTATTAAAATTAAAATTACAATTATCTTTAAGGAATTTATTTCTTAATTTTACCAATCAATTTAAATCACATCTTTTAAATTTAAGAAGTAAATAAATATGTATATCAACATTAAATATTGTGTAAATACGAATATAATTTAATTTAGTTTTTTTCATAATACTTGGCAATCATGTTATTTCACTTGTGACGTGTCTTAGCGACACTTTCGTTCGGATGACGCTGTCCATTACTTATCGTTATTCGTTCGCTTACTTCGTAGTCGATCAATTTAGTGTTTAGTAATTGATTGTTCGCTGCCGCGTCTAATTGAGTGAATAATTTGGTTAATAAAAGTGAATAAAATATTGATCATGTATAATCTCTCCGTTTTTGTCGTTCAAGTGGTAAGAATAATAACCGTTTTAAGTGTTTTTAATCATTTGCGTAATAATTTACTGAAAAATATGTTTGTGTCATATAATGTATTAAATGTATAACATGTATTAAATGTTTAGGCGGCTTCGCAAATTTTTCATATGGAACGTATATCGTCCATTATGGCATTTTTGTTGACGTAAATTTGCGTGTTTTGTCGATTATGTGACCAATGTGAAAAATTCACAGCTTCAAATTACACAAATATTTGGAGAACTATGTATTGTCGAAAAAAGTTGATCAAAATAGCGGCTTTATAAAATCAGTCAAACTTGCGACGCTTATGAAATCGTAATCGAATCCACATTTTTTTAGGCGTAATTTAATCTAAATTTTCTTATACAATCTTTCAGCCACAACTCAAATTTTATAAATCAATGTGTACTTTTCATAAAAGCTATTAAGACGGACTATATATTTTTATTTACTGATATTATGTGATTGAAATGTAATGTACATTGCTTACATGAGATGAATTAAATATAATATTTGAATGTATTTCCTCGTGTATAATAGATTGCCTCGTTACGAGGCCCTCGTATATAATCATATGTTCATAAATGTATTAAATATATGTCTTCAAATTTTGGAAATTATATACATATCTGTAACTTATAAAACTCTATAACTTTGAATCGAATAGTTTAACTAACAAAATAGTGGTTTTCACAGTCGAAGTCTTATAATTCACACTAAAACATTTTAATGTTTTTATTTTCTAATTTTAAGGGCTTAATTTATCTTTTTTCGTTTTTTTAGCGTCAAGATTCGTCCATATATATTATAAACAAGTCTGTTGAAATAATTTTTAATTCTTATGTGTTATTATATTTTTCTTATTAAACAAAAATACAGATACATTTAAGAAAGCATAATTCATCGATTTTATCTAATCACGTCCCTGATGTGAGTTGTGGAGTAACGGTTTAGACCCGTTATCTTTTATTTTCATACGTTTTAAATATTCTGTTTCCTTTTATAATCTTGCGCTATTCAAGTCGCATTCACTTCAAGTCACACTGACAAAATTTTAAAAACTTTTATTAACTATATTTTAGCTATATAAATATATATATATTATTTTGTTTCATATTTCGTTTAATAGGAGTATATCTGTTAGAGGCATCGCAACTCTACCAATGGCACCTATCGAACCTATTGAACATTATAATAATTCGTATGGCTATATTATTATTATAGATATATTGAATACATAATATTCAATTTACAAAGTGAATTGAAATTGAAAAATTTTATCTCAATTGTAGCAATCTTTTGCGTATGTTATTATAGAAATATTTCATATTATAAAAAACATTTTTTGTTTGTTTTTGCAGTAACAACTTCCGCTATCGTCCACCAATTATCTACGTAATAATCTACCAATTATCCATCTACATAATAATCCACCAATTAACCATCTACGTAATAATCCACCGTTCATGCATACAGAGGCCATATATCAGCAACAGATCAGAATACAATATTCATTCAACAATGATAGAAGATGTAAAGTGTTAAACTCTATAAGTAACGTAACTGACCATAATTTAGATCCGATGAACTGAAGAAAAAAGACCATACATTCAAAGAAAGAGAAACCGTACATTCAAAGAATAATATAGTATTGAATATTGGAACTACCATTAACCCAGCAGTTATACCAAACAAGTCTACAACAAGGCTACAATATACAAGAATAGAAAAGAAGACAGCATCGAAGAAGTGTGGATTTAAATCATATGCAATATTTTGGAAAGAACAGAGCAATTTACTTCGATTAGGAATGTATAAGCTCCTGTAAAATCAAAAACGATTCTTAAACCGTAGTTTTGTAAAGAGGTTAAAGTATTTGTAGCGGAAAGTAGCACGTAGGCTAAAATATAAAAAAGATATAAAGAGATGGTCTTAATCTCTAATATCAAAAAAAAAAAAAACAGCTAGGAAGCTAACTCTACGAAAATAAAATAGACACGTATGATGCTCACAGTTTGGTATATAATACGAAAATAAAACAAATCCGAAATAAGAATGTCAGCTTATCAACCATTATTACAAGACATTGAAAGAAACACTTTTGCAACTATATTATAATACAAGTAAACATGTCACCGACAGATGAAATGTCAACAATACTAACAGAGAACTATACAATTCCATTTCAGAAAGTATATTTTTTTTATATCAATATTGAAATAATGAAAATTATTCAGACAGTGGAGGACTTCAAAGTCCGACTGCTAAACCGTATCGATTGTATGGGAAGACAGCTCCACAATTCCTATATTCAAGAGAGCAGAGATATATATATACTCAAAAGAGCAAAGACTATGCAGTTCTCTTTAGATCTAGATAAGCTTGTGTAGATGGAAGAAATAGAATTTTCGCATTGAGATGCGGCACTAACGTGGTAGTCCAAGTATTTTTGCTGCATATTGGGCCCCACCAGTGAGTTGTGGTGATGAACTACAAAGACGTTACAATAGAATAGAATATGACCTCTGAGTACTAACTTAAGGTTGGTGAATATGTATTTATTGTATATCATTGAGATTCTGAAAATAAATTTTATCAAGTATTTTATCAAGCAGATTTTATTATTGGGTGTGGTCTATGACAAGAAGCTTAATATGGAAATGTATGGTGAAAATAATATTTTCAAACTTTTAACATGATTTTGTTCATCGATCCACATTAGCTACAGTTGTGAGTAATATTGAAGTATTTTATTGTTTATAGGAAATGTTTCACTTTATCAATATTTTTTTCTTATCTTGTAAATTTTTTTTCAGCGTACAAATGAAAAATTTATATTGCTGCATTTGGGTGTTTCTGTCTTATCAACCAAACTATTTCAATGGACTTCAATGGATGTAAAAACAAAAATGTTGGAAAATAGAAAAAGTTGAACTAATATTTATGCAAATTCGCTTTATCGCCAAAAAACATAAGCGCCTTGAGCACATAAATTATGCAAATCCGCTGTTACAAATTTAAAGTTATGTGCGAAGTGCGGAGTCCTTCGGAGTTTCGGAAGGAGTTTCAGTAAGTTTCAGATGTGAAAATCACTTAGCAATATTTTAACAAGAAATAAAGAAAAAAATTTATATAAAAGAGTTTACAACGACGTTAACTTCCTTTTCTTTCTGTTTTTGCTTATTAGGTGGAAATGTTATTTTTATAATTTATACGGATTTAAATGATAGTTGTGGGGAAATCATAGAAACCAGGACATATCGAAAGGATTTTTGTTAAAAACACGAACAGTGATTGATAAAAGGTTTTAAAAAAATTTTTACTACTCGAAACAAAGATTTGTATTAAGTGCCTTACTAAAAATTTCGTAATTTCAAAAGTAAACGCTTGTGTTTTAGATAACATCAAATTTTGTCTTAATATTATATATTCTTTGAATCATGCCATTAGGTATGAAAGACAATATCCCATGGAGCATACGGGTACTGAATATTTTTGAGTTAATATTTAATGGCTTATTGTCTCATACCTAGCAATAACTCTGACATTAATTGACTCATATTCATTTTCAAAACATCGAGAGTTGGAGGATTGTTCACATAAACGGAATCGTTTGAATAAACCCAGAGAAAAAGTAAAATAGTCATAAATCGGATAATCTTAATGGTTAATTCAGATCATCAAAATAAGAAACTGTGGTCCAGGACCTGATCTGTGTCTTATGACTTATCAACATCACTTATAAGTTATAACTTATAACTTCTACATCCATGTCATTAAAACACTTATCATGCGGATGTGTATATGAATATACGATTACTTTAATGAAAGTTTTGCTTGATATGTGTTATTGAAACAATGTTGCTAGATCAGGATTGAATAACCTGTTACATTGGTATTTATTTCTTATTATTTAATATCAAATTTTATTATCATTTCTTACTAGAAAATAAAAATGCATTATATCGCATGTGGAGCATACAAAACAGGCAAATCCGCAAATATTGGAATTGGAAAATTGGATATTCCATCTTCACACAGTTTAAGAGGAAGTTAGCAACAGAGCTTTGTTGATAAAAATGGAGAAATGGATGTATTGATGATGCTATTCGAAGACATCTTTAAGATATATTTAAATTTAGTAAGTTAAAAGTAAGTAGTATTAGTTTGATTGTTTGCAGCATGAAGTGGGTCCAAAAAACCCCCTGGCACATGATCAAAGTTAGCTCGATTAAGCTTCCATTAAATATTATTAGTTTATCAATTGGTCTTTAAAAAGTCGAAGGATTTTCGTAGGTTAAATATTTTGTATTCTTTTTCCATTTTCAAATCTTCAATTTCCGAAATCAAGATGAAATTGATCAGTTGGTATTTAAATGTTGTATTATCCTTTCATCTTTATTGCAGTATGTCTTAAAAAAGCTTAGTTTGTATAAATAATAATTGCCTTGTGGTGGTTCTGCATTATAAAATCATTTCATTCATTTATTATAAATTTTGTTTTGTTATTTATGTTATTTGAGAGATATATTTGCTATAACTACGGCTGTGTTCAATGCATGTGATTTTACTCTTAGGCTAGTTTATTTGACTGTTTCATCACTGCAATCGCGATCTCTATATCTTAGTATTGTCATTATGGTTAGCCCACTTTGAAGGTTTATGGCTGATTATATAAGTTAGTACGGTTCTCAAGTATAAATTTGTATTTTACCTTTGGAACCTTTGGTACACCATCGTGGTATTATAACCGGTCCCTAGGAGAGCCGTGCTGCAAAAGGCTGCTACTCCAACCTAACGTAACTAGTATACCATCAGTATGCGTCAAAAGTCAGTTTGATCCTGTTAACATTTTGTTTCGAAGGGCTTTTAACATCAGTGGATCTGTTGAGGATTATGTCTGTCTCAATCTAGTTATGGGAGTAAAATATGTCATCTGCTTCATTAATCTTGGTTACCTCTTCGAATACCTTGTTTGTAGTCGTAGAACTTCACTTTATTTGAGAATGGGAATAGGTCGTAGATTGAATAGCGCTTTAATTCAAATAGTGGAGTGGTTCTCATGATGGCCCTTTATTGAAACGTTACCGTCTCTGCATTTTAATTGGTTTAATATGTGTTGTAATTTATTCCGCCCTGTTTTCATTTGTTGTTCTGCAGATTTCAGTATAGAAAATTCTGACAAAGTTCATAAAGTGGCTTCCTTAGAGTATATTCGAAAAGTTCAACTGATATTGTTTACTTAATTTTATTAAAATTTTTATTATTTATTTAAATTATTTAATTAATATAATGTTTATCAAATTTAGAAAATGAAAAATTGCTTTTGTTAAGTTTTTTTATTGAATGAATTCATATTTTTTGTACAACTCTTCCGATCATTTTATTATTCATGTTTATGTTTATCTTTAATCCACCTCACTAAATTAAATTCAAATTAATTTTATATCTCAAAGTTTAGATTTGATTTTATTTCAATTACAAACTTTATTTTTAGAACAAAAAATATTTGCTACACAAATAATTATTGAAACCGAGAAAACTTTTTAATTAAGTCCATACATATCTGTTGGAATTACTTTCAAACTTTCAAAGTTGAAAAGAATTTATTTTCTTTTTAATTTCAGTTGTGCAGTTTGGTTACAAATAAATTAAAATATTTGAGGGAGAAAGAAAATATCCTTAAACTATTTTAATTTTGTCAATTTTTCGTTGGATAATTAAAAAGTAATTTTCTTCAAACTTTATTAAAGCAAGTTCATATATCCTCAACTCCACAAATAATGATTGTGTAGGTACTTTACTTTAGTCTCTCAGATACGTTAGTTTTGCTTTGTCAAGTTTTGGATAGGCTCTTAAAATAAAAGGTAAACAATCCTTTTCGGTAGCAAAATTATTTGAATTTATAATAGCATCCGCGGATGTTTCTAAATACATGCGTTTCTTTAGAATATGTCATTTTTAATATTTGGATTTGCTTGTTCTGGAAGAATAGTATGTATGCGTGTCCATAAAAAACATTATTTAAAAATTTCTTTTTTCAGTTGAACTGAGAATAAATTCAATGGCTTGTCAAAAAATAATACCGATTTATTGGTGGTTTCTAAATAAAGTGTTTAGTAGATTGCTTTAGCTATAGATGTTATACAGGCTCGCACATTAAACGTTCGGGACGCTGCATGCATTTTTGGACTATTACATCTCGATCTTTCTAGAGTCACTGAAGAATTTCTTTCACTTTAGCTATATCCAGAATAGTCTCAATGTTTTTTTAAGTTAATAATTAATCACCCCGATTCGTGGATTAATTTTTTGTGGAAAATTCTTATTCCATAATACATAAAAGCATGCCATTTTCCTAAAATATATAGACTAGATTCTCTGTATTGCATACAGTCTGCTTTCACCGTTAATAGTGGCCAGTTAACACCCCAATCAATACAATATATTCAGATTGAGTAGGTATTTGCTTTTCTTCTCAGACTATTTCGGTAAAAAAAGCTTGGTGCAGCGGGATCTATCTGCATTAGTCCATTTATAATTGGCTTAATTGGCTTACTCCAGTTTAGCTAGACTTTTGCAGTGGTTTTTGCTGACACTCAGCAAATAGTATATAGATGGTAACATAGAAATATTGACAGTTGATAAAATATACATCTCTAAATGAGAAATGAGAAGAAAGAAGTTTTTTATAGATATCAGTCTTTTAATAAGTTTGGAAAATGTGTTATTTTCGGTATGAAATCGATTTATTCAAATCTTCCTGCATATAAAGTTTAACGATATGCAGGCATTAGTACACAAGCTGTCCCTCTTCAATAGGAAGAGAGATATTGCATACAGATATCAATCTTATAATTAGTTTACTGACATACCAATTTTAGCAAGAAAACGATAATATGAGATGGAATATTGCTTTTAGTGACGTTTTTACTGCATCTGTTTTTTGCAGCTGGAAGAAGTGCTTAAAAAGTGCTTAACTGTTTCGTCACTGTCCAGCGCTTGGCCATGCTACGATTTGTTTCCCAGAAGATCCTAGCTTATTGTAGGATCTCTCATTGAAGAGTATCCTATACTTCCTTTGAAGAATAAGAATTAAATTAGAATTATTTTACATTCAATGCATACATGTTTAGCGGTCTTATGGTAATCTAACTTACTTTATAGTATCTGTGATATCTCCTCCACAGTGTTCAAAGTGTAGTATAAATTTGATGAATCCTTCAATGTTGTGACAACAATATAGTTCATGCACTAAATTTTATTACAATTTAATAAAATATTTCAACCTAAAAGCAGTGTTTTTAGGTCTGTTGGTAAAGTATTTAAAGTAATTAATTTCTCTAAAAGACAAAGCCTCTAATGTAGTTCCACGGTTTTATGCTCCATTGCATATGACTGACATGATTGTTAAGTGCAAACGCTTAATTATTTTAGAATGTAACAAGCGGATGGCGGATGGCGTATGGGTATTGGGTATGGAATGAATTCTGGTTACACTAAATTGCAACGTACATGAACCGACGCCACATATAACATCCTGCTGAGCTGACTCGTAAAGCATTTTGCACCATGTCACACATCGATAAAGTCTGAAATTTACTACAACATTCAATTTACAGCACAATCAAATGAAATTATGTCATGAAATTGCTGATAATAATCAGTGTGTTGCTCTCATTTCTTTATTTTGCAGTAAATTTAACTTCTTCATAACCTCAAGCTAATGCTCCGCTCGTAAAGCTTTTAATATGTGAACAAGGAAAATACTGGAAGCGATGTACTTTATTAAATTTATTGAAAAATTGAAGCTGATGATTTTACTCCGTCATCATGTAAAATATTTAAGTACTTTTCCTCTAAGCAACTGCGTACGATGGACAAGAACTTTTATACTCTTATACGAGTACTTGTACTTCTTGAAATTGGAACTTCGGGCAATGTAATAACTTTAGTTTTTATTTTACTACATTGCATTTTATTTCAAATTTTATAGTTAACGTAATAACGTTGTGCTTTTATTCATCATATGGAAGTAAAGATATGCATTCAACAAATGCACTTGATATTGTATTCATCTTCGTTGGACTGCACTGCACTGCTGCACTATTTGTGTGACGACGAGTACGACGAGTACCGGCACCACAATAGCCAAGTAAAATGTTTGAAAATGAGAATCTTTCAAATCTGTGTATTTACATATCTAATAAGAGTGAATGGTCTCCAATGAAGTAATTGGAAAGTATTGCTCTAATAATGAGATATGTATGCAATGAACGAATACTGTAGTAGTTAATAAGTTGAAGACAAATACATCGAAGTTTGCTAAGAAAATTGTTTTAATGGTTGTACAGGATTTTTTGTTGTTGGAGATCCTGCAATAACAATGACAGACTTCATTGCTTGTATCCTTTCAGTTTTTTTTTTTCCATTGTATTTCATTAACAGTTTTTTATTATGTTAGCTTCAAAAAAAAATTGATGAATTTTTCCATTGCCTCAATGTTAATAATTCGGAATATACAATGCTTTAATATACCCTTCCGCGACGTAGAAGTAGTCATGAGTTTCCATATATCCGTACTCTCCGTGTATACTTTTTATATATGTAATTTATCTGAAAGCATATGCGTATGCGAGTATTTTATCTCTATTATTTTAATAAAGAACAATAAAAGGGAAATAATAAAACAATAAATTAAGAATAATTGATAACAGACTCGCAAGCCTACATTATCAAGTCATCAAAGTGTTTTGTTCTGTGATACTGTGATGAGGAATAAAAATTTATAAATGCTATAACCAGCATTCCAGCCAAAGGAAGCAATCAGCGTAATTTATTATGTGGCTGATGTTTGCGGCGCTGATGAAGCACATGACTGCAGCCACGGGCGAT